TGTGAGCGTGATGCCACGGCACTCTACCCAGGGGGACAGCTTGAGGCTCTGTCTCAAAAAAAAAAAAAAAAAGAACTATTATTAACTCCATACCTATAAATTTGATAACCAAGATGAAATGGACCAATTCCTTGAAAGACACAATCCACCAAAACTTTTCCAAGGAGAAATACATTATCTGAATACGCCTATACATTAAAAATTGAATGAATATATAATACCCTTCCAAAACATCAGGCCCAGATGGGTTCATTGGTAAATACTATCAAAAATTTAGGGAAGAAATTATACCGATTCTCCTCAATCTTCTAGAAAACAAAAGTGGAGAAAATGCTTCCTAATTCATTCTATAAGGCCAATATCACCTTAATACCAAAATCAAAGATATTACAAAAAAGAAAATCTACAGATCAATATCACTCATCAATATCTCTCACAGATGTAAACATCCTCAACAAAACATTATCAACTCAATCAAATCTAACAAGGTATAAAAACAATTATGCACTATGACCAAGTCAAACTTATTCTAGGTATGCAAGGCTGATTCAATATCTGAAAATTAATTAATGTACTTCATCATATCCATAGGCTAAAGAAGAAAAATCACATCAATAAATGCACAGAAAGAAATCTGACAAAATCTAAAACTCTTTCATGGTAATTAACTCTCAGGAAAACTTCCTAAACTTGATAAAGAACATCTAGAAAAACAATTACAGCTAATATCACACTTAATGGTGACCAAAATAGACATTTTTCCTTCTAAAATCAGAAACAAAGCAAGCATATCCCTTCGTATCATTCCTTTTCAACATTGTACTAGAAGTCCTTGCTATTACAGTAAAAAAAAAAAAAAAAAAAAAGGAAGTATCAGGCATACAGGTTGAGAAGGAAGAAATAAAACTGTCTTTGTTTCCAAACAACCCCATTGTCTATGCAGAAAATCCCCAAAACTTAACAAAAATATAGCTGCAACTAAAAAGAAATTATTCCAAAGTTGCAATATACAAACTTAACATGCAAATTACTTTCTTATAAACCAGCAATGAGCAAACAGAATTTGAAAATAAAAACACAGTATGATTTATACTAGAACCTACCTCCCAAAATGAAATATGTAGGTATGGTATATAACAAATCACAAATCTAACAAAACACATACATGAGCAAAAACTATGATTTCTGATTAAAGAAATCAAACAAGATCTAGATAAATAAAGATACATGGCACATATATGGATAGGAAGCTCAATATTGTCCAAGTATCAGTTCTTCCCAATTTAATCTACAGGGTGTCCCAGAGTTCATCCATAAAGTCACTATACACAAGGATAATGGGAAATTGTAGCTAAATGTACCTTTATTTATGAAATAGTCATACAAAACTTTACAAAAGAGGTGGCCAACACATAGAAAATATTTTACAAATATTTTATAAAATTTTATAATGAGTATTTTATCAATAAAGGTACATTTAGCTACAATTTCCCATCTTCCCTATATAGGGCAACTTTATGGGTGATCTTTGGGAGCCCTGTTATGGCATATGTTATGCATTTCTAATCAAAACAATAGGTAGGTAGACAATATTTTAGGGTATTGAAATTATTCTGTATGATGTTAACAGATATGTCATTTCACTATATATTTGTTGAAACATGACAAAGGAATGAACACCAATGTAAACTATGGACTTCAGTTAATAATTATAATATAGTATATCAATAATAGTTCATCAATTCTAACAACTGTACCACACTAATACAAGTTTATAATAATAGGGTAATGAGGCATATGAAAACTCTCTGTACTTCAAATATTTTTATAAACTTGAAACTGCTCTAACAAAAAAAAGTCTCCTAATTTTTTAAAAATAAGACTATGGGCTCGGCGCCTATAGCTCAACCTGCTAAGGCGCCAGCCACGTACACCTAAGGTGGCGGGTTCGAATCCCCAGCCCGGACCCGCCAAACAACAATGACAGCTGCAACCAAAAAATAGCCGGGCGTTGTGGCGGGCGCCTGTGGTCCCAGCTACTTGGGAGGCGGAGGCAGGAGACTCGCTTGAGCCCAGGAGTTGGAGGTTGCTGTGAGCTGTAATGCCACGGCACTCTACCCAGGGAGACAGCTTGAGGCTCTGTCTCAAAAAAAAAAAAAAAATAAAAAAATAAAAATAAGACTATGAAATAAGAATTAATCTAATTTCATCATAATTTTAGATATATTAATTTAAAAAAACTCCAACAATACTCCTAAACACATGAGGCCTTCCGATTTTATATTTACTTTTTTCTGGGTATCAGGCATGTAAGTTTTTTAAATTGAATCAAAATATGCACAGCATAACATTTATTTTTTATTAATTAATTCATTTTTTCAGTTTTTTACCAGGGCTGGGTTTGAAACCGCCACTTCCTGGCATATGGAGCTGGCACCCTACTCCCTTGAGCCACAGGCACTGCCGCCATAACATTTATTATTTTAGCCATTTTTAAGTCTGCATGTTGTTACACATAATAGGTATATTACTTACTGTCCTTTCTTGACCTTATCAAAGTGAAGACAGAATTTACCTGGCATAATAAAAATGTAGAAAAAAGAACATCCTCTAAGATAGTGTGTGATTTCAGAACTTCTCATACATATGGAGCCAACTTGAAAAATCTATACCGTTGAACTACAGTGGTTCTATTTCTTTGGGCTTATCCAGTAAGTAGGAAAACAGTATCAGACAGATGACTACGTTAGAGGAGAGTGATGCCTAGAATTGTTATGAAACCTAAGGACACAGGGAGTGACCCTATGAAGAACTGAAGAGAACTTCGAACAACAGAAAGTTGATCCTTAAAAAATCAGAGCACAGCTAAGAAGAGATGATCAGGTTGCTGTACTCTCAGTAAAAAGCAAAGACTAGCTCAGGGCAATTCTGTGAAATGATCCTGAACTTTAAAGAAAACAGTTTAAAATTAAAATTGAAGGACAGATCTATGTTTGGACAAAAAGAACCTCACTTCCTTTGGGAGTGAGAGAACTAAATAGCAGCCAGGACAAGAAGGAGAAAAGAGTTACATACTAGGAACCAAGAAAAAAGGTACCCAAAAAAATACGGCTGTAGAAGAAAACAACCAAAATAGGCTAAACAGTGAGGTGCAGGTTAAAAAAAAAGGAAGATGGCCAAGATAAGTAACGTCTGATTACGTGTAATAAATGAAAATTAATTTTCAAATATCATTTGCGTATTGAAGCACCCCAATGTATGAACATTTTACCCAAATTTGGCTACCCACGTACAATACTATATATATAAAGAGAAATTAAAAGTCTATAAAACCTAGATTATTTTAGAAATAGGAAAAAAGTAGATATTATTAAAAGTGGAAACGTATTCTGATTAAAAGGTTTTCTTCATCTATGTTATGGTATCAATGACAAAAAAAGATTTATGATAACCATTACAAAAAGTAAAATTTTCTTCTGTGCAAGTATGGTGCAAAGTTGCCAAAAAAGGAGATGTTCTACAGAGGTTATTAATCTGAAGAAGAAAGTGGGGTCTCCACTAAGGATGGGCTACAGTTACAGTAAGATAGTCTCTTTCAAGCTATTTCCACTCTTTCTTGCAAAACCTGATCTAAGCTAAATACATTCATTCAAGAAATGTTTGGGATGCTATTGTGTGTAGCTGTGCTAGTACATGCAAGAAAACAAATGTTGAATAAAACATAATCCTTATTCTAAAAAAGGTTACAGTCACAGAGGAAAAATCCACACAAAAATAGTCATTTATAAAAAAGGCAAGAATTAGAGAGGTACAAACAGTTCTATATACATATTCAAAACAAATGAGTGGGAAGAAGCTTAATAGAAGAGCTAGAAGTGCAGGCTTCGTTCCCTCTACACATATCACATAATACGTGCCTAGTACTATTCTATCGTGGCTGGGAAGGGGGATGTAAGGGAGTAGTTTCAGGAGAAACTCACTCTTAGAGTCTAGGCATTGAATTAAAGCACAAGGAATCATACATGCTAAATTTCCTGCAATCAAGCTTCTTTCACACTTATGTTGTCAAGTATATACCTTATATACAACTTATGTTGTCAAGTATACACCCTAAGGGTATGTAGAAATCAAAACACACTGAAAGCTCACCACTTTTTTTTGTTTCAAATCCCAAGAATTCAGTTCAGAAGTCAATTCTTTCCCTGATTTTCTATGACTTTTCACATTTTTTCTAGAAAGGCTTTTATCACAAATAGCAGAATTCATGTCTTTTGAGAGTATATATTTCTTCCTATATATCAGCGATTCTTCAACTGTCTTATTTAGGAGAACTGATTTAAAAGTTGTTTCAGATTCAATACGCCAATCATTCTGCTTGGTATTTTTAGTATTTTTCTCCTCTGAATATTTAGGATGATTTTCTTGTTGATTGTTTCTTTTGTAAACTTCTACTTCTCCTTTATCTATTTTATTATGGTCCACTCTTTCTTTCTTATATTTTACCTTCCTTGTTTCTTCAGAATTATCATCAGATATCGAAGACGATGGCTTTTGTTTAGTAAGTTTTTTGTTTATAACAACATCTAGTGGGAAAATGAGAGATTTTTATTAATAAATTGACAACATGTAAATTTGTTAAAATGAAAAATGCTTATTAGACTTTTGAGGAAATTAGTATTCCCTTGTACTACTACATACAGACAAAACTGTATGTTTCACCTTGATTAAATGTCTCTCCTGATGAAGTACTTGCTCTTCGGTTATTACATAGTTCGATATTTGTTACAGGTGTCCAACATGCCAATTTGGAGTGCATTTTATTGCCACAGATATTGTCTAAAACACCAGGTAATCTAGAAAATGAATTCATTTCTTTAACATATTACAAAGAATGTTTAAAAAGTCTGATATCTACTTAAATATATCTTAGATGTTCTGTGTGTTTAAACTAAGTTAAATTTTATTCATATTTTATTACTTAAAAAAATCTCATTCATTTTAAGTATCTCAACTTGAAAAGAGTTACATTTGGTTGACATGGAAAAAAATATATATGCATTCTTCATGGTACTATCAGAATACCTTAAAGATGATTAAGTCTATAACTAATTCTCCATTCTAATAATATAAAGTCCTTTTCCTTCAACTGTGTTATATCTGACAATAACATTACCATAGGCTAGATGATTTGATAGTTTTTCTCCTACTTACACAGGTTTATCTCTTTTTTCCTCTGCCTGTGAATCAGGTACAACATCCTGGAGTTCATCTAAATAAAAAAAAATTATATTTACTTTTTTTCATGGATTTTGTAGGGTAAAATTGGAGTTAGTATAGAATTTATAAAGGCATACTGTTGTATGCCACCTCCTTCACAGACCCGTACTTCTTGGGAACAGAGACAATATCATATTTCCTTGCAATCTCTAAAATTCCATGTACAAAGCCAAACATTCTTTCTAAATCTTTCTTTTTCAAATCAACAAAGCTAGTGGGGTTAAAGGGATATAGAGAGAGAAGTACATTTATTTTTTAAAAAGAATTATCATAAGGTACTTACTAAAATTTTTGTCTGGGAATTCAACTTCCTTATTTTCTGTCTTTTCTACAACTACAGCAGTTTTGAAATGCTGTAAACACAGGAAACACATTCATGTAAACTTTGAATTAAAGAGCTATATGAAATCTTTTAAAAGTCAAAGTATTAACGTCTGAGATTTTTAAAATAAATTTCCTTTGCTATTGTAAGTTGAATGGTACTTATATCTATTTCACAAATGTTATGTTCATTTTAGAATACTGCCTATCCTAAAAGACAAGCATGTAATTTTCACTGCACACAAGGAGGCAGAAGAGTCCACAAATTTTTTGATCCCATCCAAAGCCAGTGTAAATCAATTTCCATCAGTCACTGACAATTTCTAGAACCACCATGACACATCTCCTATTGCTGCTGATCGCACAGCCTACATCTGTCATTTCACCAAACTACAAGGTAGACATAAAGATCATGTGCAATTTAACTTTATGTCCACCCTATATATAGAAATTTCCAAAAATTATGAAGTACTGTTTTTAAAATTTTAGCTATTGCCCAGGTAACTTTTTGCCCAATAAAAATCTGCTGTCACTATCAGAAAAATACATCCTCTGATTGAAAACATTATATTTTGCGTCATCCTGGCTGTCTTTCCTACTTAATCTAGCCAGAGAGTCTCCAAACTGGTAGGGGAGAAGTTATGGAAATATGCAGGAGTGTTCTGGATTGTCACAATGACAGAGGGGTTCTCCTGACAATAGATAAACTCAGTCCTACCTAGAATGTTCATTATTCTACATTATTACAACATTTAGAACCATGCCACACAATTGAAAAGTAGTGCTCTTGTAAGAAAAACACTTAGCTAGGTGACCTGAACTGTTACTTTTACTATTTTTTTCTAATATCTACAACTCTCTCACCCCAATTTTTCTGCTCGTATGCATTTAAATTGAAAAAGAATGTGTCCACCATCTCCTTTTTTATTCTAAAACCTTATAAAGCTTTGAGATAATTACACAATTTATGAACTAATGACATGATAAAATTCAGTCTTAAATTTAAACTGGGCCCTAACATTATCTAACATCTATACTTTTTCTTAGGCCTCACCATGACTTCTTAGTACCTCTGCCAAATTTTTACATGTCCCTGAGCCCTCTTACTTTAACAGATACCCATGAAAAACCTGATACTCCATAGACAACAAAAGCTATTACGGTGTTCTCATCTACAATCTTATCTGTATCTCTGATCACCTCTTGTTTTCCCGAGAAATTATTTTCTCTTATCCAGTCCCTGCTCTGTCTCTGGAGTTCCTGGAATGAATGCCCTTCTCCTCAATATTCATTTTACTTTTATTCAGCTTTCAAAAATCAACTCACTCTATTTCCTTAAAAAACATCTCTTGGTCTTTACTCTCCCATCTAGCTATGACTGGGTTCCTATTTGCATCCTATAAGTATATCTGAGAACACTTATAATATATTGTAATTATCTTAATAATTTGTCTAATTCCCAAGCTAGACAATGACATACTTTAAGGACAGAATCCACTTGTATTTCACATTTCTAGATCAGAGCCTTCCCCACGGCAGTCACTAATGTGCATAAAGAGTTATCCAAGACCATTTCTCCTATCAAATATATAAATTAAGAGTTCTAGAGAAGGAATAATCATAAGTTTTGTTATAAGCACAGTAAATGAGTCGTATGCCAAAAGGACCCTACTTTCAAGGATAATAAATGTTATCTTAGAACAAAACAAGTAATGCTCTAAATGAAATGAGGCATCATTTGCAAAAGAAGTTAGAGAGGGTGCCAAAAAAATGTGTACATGTTTTAAGCTAGGAAAAACCGTATTAAAATTGTAATGCTCAATATATACTGATAACAAAAGATGAATACAAATCTCACTGAACACCTCTTATAATTTCAGAAGTCAAATGTAACTTAAATATTAAAAATTTAATACAGTTTTTCCCAGCTTAAAATGGCACCCTTGTGTGGCACCCTCTATATTTCTATAGTAACTTTTAAAAAATTACTTAAAAATAGTTTGAAAGTAAAGTTACTTTGTCTGTATTATATCCTCTATTTCTTCCTTCAGATGGTTTAGATTTAAGTGATGCAGCCTTATCCACTCCATTTTCCAGTGTTTCAGAAACACCAGGTTTTTCTGCAGAACTCATCATTTGCAGTGGTGGTTTAATTCTTCCTCTTCGTGGTGGTGCTTAAAATAAAATGAAAAAGAACATCTAGCTTTTTAAAATATATTGCTATTATTGAAGTACTTTTCATATAAAGAAGGTAAAAAAGGAAAGTTCTAGGATGGTTCCCAGGTTTCTGACTTAGATAAATGGATATAAATGCCATATGTCAAGATAAACAGCAGAGAATAAAATCAGCCAGGTGATGTGACATGCACTCATAGTCCCAGCTACTCAGGAGGCTGAGACAGGGGGATTGCCCAAGCCCAGGAACTGGAGGTGCAGTGAGCTATATAATGAAGCCACTGAACCCCAGCCCTCGGGTGACAGAGCAAAACTCTGTCTCAAAAAAAAAAAAATAGTGAAGAAAAAATTGGCAGGGAGGATGGGAAAATAAATTCAATGTTGAACTTCTGAAGGTTGAGGAGCTTAGTAGAAACAGAAGGTAAGTATTCAGGTTTCATAGAAACTATTTAAAGCAACTAGTACAGAATATCAGATTTTGCATTTTTAGCTTTTATTTAGCTCTTAGTATGTACTAGGCACTACCTAAATATTTTACAAGACTGCTCATAGAATGAAAAATTTTTATTTAATCCTTTAACAACTTGATAAGGTAACTTTTACCACTTCATAGAAAGGAAATTGGTTTTAAAATTAGCTAGAGAGATGGGTGGTGCCTGTGGCTTAAGGAGTAGGGCACCGGCCCCATATGCCAGAGGTGGTGGGTTCAAAACCAGCCCAGGCCTAAAAAAAAAAAAAAAAAAAATTAAAAATAAAATAAAATAAAATTAGCTAGAGGATAGTGTATACAAAAGTGCAAACCCAGGAATGAGGAACTAAGCAGCCTTATTAACTTAATATTTAACCAGTTTATTATGCTGTATCCTGCTTAAATTATGATAAATTTTTACTGCTTAACTTTAATATTTTGAACACTGTTTATATGTCAATATACATTATACCTTTCTTCTCTTAGAAAACATTAGTGATTCATATCTGATCAATTTTCATAGCCCCAACTTATCCTTTAAAAGTATTATTTCCAGAATTTTCCTGAATTAACAAATGTTTCATTTACAATGTAATATTTGTTAGAAATCTTTTAAGACTATAAAACTTACGTGTGTTGATTAAAAGTATAGGACTTCTCACAGTATATCTATCTGCACCAGGAACAATCATTGATGCTTCAGACATTTTTCTTTTGCTAGGAGTAGTTATCTTAAACCATGATGAGAAACAGCCACAGTAAACACACATTATTTTTGAAGTTCAATATACTACAGTTTTACACATAACATTTTGCCTTGACTACATACAAAAGATATATGGTTTTCAATAAACAACACAATATCCAGAAATTTCTGTGTTTTAGACTGACTGTAAAGATCTTATCTTTATATTAGGTATTAAATAAGTAGCCAAAACAAGCAAGGAATATTTTTAAAGAATATTTATAGAACATCCAGATGTATGAAATATAGTACTTTTATATGCTAGCTGAAAATATTTTATCAGTATTAAGTTTATCTAGTTTAACCATAGCTTACATTTTCCTACTCTATTACATGAGAGTGATGTTTGAATACATATTTATGTTAAATTACTTTGAATGTCTTCATAATGTTAAGTCTTCTCCAAAACTTTCACACATTTTTGAAAAGTGTATTAAAAGCCTGTGAAGACTAAACTGGAGTAAAGTAGTTACAGGAACTCACAGATTCCCTGGCACATATGCAGTGGTTCCAATAAAGATTTGTCATCACAAAAGCGATTTATAAGAGTGACAGAAGTAAATAACAGAGGCAGGGACTAAAGAAGACAGGAGTTTCAGAGGGTGCCATGTAAAGGAGTAGATGGGAACATTATAGTGTAGAAGCATTAAAAAGCTGTTTTTAAAAAGACACTTGCCCATAAATTAGGGGGTAGATGGGAGTTGTGCGATGTGAAATATAGGGGAAGGGTAGGGAGAAAAGAAGAAAAGGGAATTCTAAGATTAACTCTGAACCAGCAGATTCTTCTTTAAGAAATTAGTTTCTAGCAGTATTAGTGAATGGATCCTGAAAATACTTATTTGTATACACAAACACATCAAAACAGTTCATCTTCATTGAAAACAAATTAAATACTCAACAATACTGCACTATTCTTTAAATGTTGGTGTGATTAAGACCTTTCCCGGGGTCTAAGAATCTGCATTTTTTTTTTTTTTATTATTAAGACAAGAGTTTTACTCAGTCATCTGGGGTTGAATGCCTTGGTGTCATAGCTCACAGCAACCTCAAACTCCTGGGCTCAAGCAATCCTCTTGGCTCAGCCTTCCAAGTAGCCTGGGACTATAGGCACCTACCACAACACCCGGTTAGTTTTTCAATTTTTAGTAGAGACAAGGTCTCACTTTGCTCAGGCTGGTCTACGACTTTTAAGCTCAGGCAATTCACCTTGGACTCCCAGAGTGTTGGAGTTACAGGCGTGAGCTACCCTGCCCAGCAGAATCTGCATTTTTAATAAGCACCCAAAATGATTCTGATAAAAAGACACCAAAGATACCTTTTATGATCTAATTACCTAGGGGAGGTAAAAGATAATATTTTAAATTTGAAGATACAAGTCTAAAGGAATAAAGAGTAATAAAAATATGCCCAAAATTATGGGCCTGAGAGAGTTATAGTTATCTAAAGGTGAGAAATTAGTAACAACTGAAATAATCAGGAAAATCTCCATGAAGAAAGTAAAAATGAAGACCTGCAAATGTAAATACACTTTAGATAAGTAAAGGTAAAAAATGAAATAAATAAGATGAATGGAGACCTAGAAGGAAGAATAAGTAAGGCATACAAAAAGACAGTGAAACAAGTGAACTTACTAAAGAGGAGAGTACATACTATATAGTTTTAATAGAAAAGGGTAAAATTTAATTATAGAAAGTCTCAGAACCAAGTCCAAATTTATTGAGTCACTGGGATGAACACAGAAATCATGAACCTTCATGAACCTTTTTTTGGTCAGATGAATGCTATTGGGACACTGATATTTAAGAAAAACCACTGGTATGCCATATGGGGTAGCTCAGAGGATGAAGCAATGATGTGAAAGAACAATGAGGAGGCTACTGTATTAACCCAGGTATGCTGGGATAAGTAATGATAGAAGAAGAAAGGAAGAAAAATGTTAGATATACTAAGACAGAAAACTCACTAGCATCTTGGTTCTAGATAGAGTGGAGAGAAGAGGCTAGAATCAAGATACTGATGAAAAATATTACTGGTAGTATTACTTAAGTATAGGGACAAATACAGAGTTGAGGCAAAAGCTAAAGTGTTTGAGCTTAGACTTCAGGAAAGGACTTGAAGAAACACAGATGAAATACGAGAATGGAAGGTAGAGATTCAAGTATAGGACTTTGAAATCTGGGGCATTTTAAGAGCTCAAATTATATCTAAAAGAAGCTCCTTAAAAGGAAGGCTACAAGATAATTCAGAAGGCTGAATATCAGGCTTCTGAGTTTAGGGCAAACCTGTAAGGAGATGGTGAGGGTAAGTATCTCTGATGTAGTAAAAGAAGTAGGAAGAGAATTTGGATGCTCAAAATAGAAGTTGAAAAAGGAAGAGGGCCTTAAGAAAGAAAGGTCTATCAAACAATGTTAAGTGTCACAGCAAAGTATGGGGACAAAAAAGCTGAGAAACAGTTCTACTGCATGTGGCCTAGAGGATATCCTTCAGTGGAAGAGGAAGAAAAGAAGAAAAAGAACCTAAAAAAGAACCTAATGCTTTTTTCCCGTTCCTCATACAAATAAACAGACCATTATAGATTTGTATTAGACATTATAGCCAAATGCAAAGAACAGAGACATTAAATGCAAAAAAACAGTTTTCTTATGTATGTCTAACTTGTAATTTATAAGTAAAAAGTATAGCTTATTTTGTCCTAACCCCTAAACATAGAGACAATTTGGGAAGACACCACCTTCTGTTCTTATTTGTAAAAGGCATGGAAAAACTCTGAAATGTAATTCATCAAAGCCATCAGTATATAAATTCTAGTTGCTATTTTCCTATATTTATATATAACAATGATTTGATCCACACTAGTTTTACATACAAATATTTTGATGTCACTTTACCTCAAGCTGACGATTTTTTCTATCCCCTTGATTACTATTGATATATTTGAGAGATTTAGCAAATTCTTTTGGGGAGCTACATTTTTCTTTAAAGCTAACAAGTTCTTCTACTGGTGAGACTTGACTTTCTGGCACTAGAATCTGTTGGAGAATGTGAAAAAAATATTTAAAACTACAAAACATGAGAACTTCTAAAAATCACTGGATATCATAATTAAGCTCCTACTTATGTCACATTTACAAATGTCACTGTCTTGTCCATTCATATACTGCTATAATTTTTACAAACTGACTTAACAAAAAGTATCCACTTTTTCGAATGTTAATAGACACAAAACAAGCTTTGACATTAGTGGAAGGACATACGCATATAAATTGTTTACCAAACAGATATTAATAAGTCTCTACTCTCTATACTAAAATTCATTATCTTTTAATCACATGTATTTTATTGAGGTATTGTTTATATCAAGACCATCTGTTTTCTTTATATTCACACTCCAACATCAACTTTATGACTGTTCTATTATTTACAGTTAAACACAGCCCACTGATAAAAATCAAATAAGTCAGAGACATACCTGTGATCCACTTGCATCAAAAAGTATATGCACAGATGTTTTGGCAACTGAAATACCTTGTTTTCTGGTAAATTCCTAAAATTAAGTTAATTCAAAATGATGTCACTTTCCTCATTTTCTTTACATTTTTCTAGATACCAAGTTCTTTCTACTTAATGCAATTTTTTCTATTTTCTTCTAAAGTCATCAAATTATCCTAAATCATTACTTTGCATATATAAATACCTACTCAGAACACTTCAATTACTCCCCACTAACCATGATCTCCTTAGCGTCTTTGTACCTACAAGAGTTCCTCAAAAATATATCCTATCATATTAATATAGGCATCTTTTGCACTATTCAAATTTGTTAATAGACTATCTCCCCAAATCAGCATATAAATGATCACCTGAGATTCTCAGTTAAACAGTATCTGGCTTATAATGTCTTCCACAATCATGGAAAATACTTTACCTAATCCTATCTTCAACTTCAAAGGCTACTTCAAGCCCCAGCTCCACAATAATGCCTTACCTTCACAACTGACTCTTACTAAGCATTCCTCTTTTTTCAGCTTCTATAATTCATTTTGCCTATGCCTATTTACTTCTTTGGACACATCATTTGTATAATTCTCATAAACAAAGTTTAATGGCATAAAATAATACTTTTTCTCATTTTATTTTTTAAACACCTGGCAGGAATTGTTGTGAGCAGTTGCTGCTAATTTTGTTATCTGAAATACTTCCTACTAGGTGTCTCAAAGGATATGGCTAACAATCTGATGGTTATTCCACTGTAAAAATTTAAAGAACTAAAATCTATGTGTCATTTTAAGAATTATTAAAATGAAATTTAAAAAGTGACCAAATCTATAGCCCCAGAGTTTCCAGAATTATGAAAATAGTAAATACATATTTAAAAGAGTTTAAAAACTTACCCTATATTTATCTGTACCAAAAATTTTTTGAGTTACATTAGTGATTTCTAATGATGCATCAAAATACAAAATCAATTCTTTCCCTTCTCTTTTACTAATTTTTATAATATTTTTCAGAATTATGATCAGCAGCTTCTTTGATTCTCTCACTGTATACAAACAAATCACTCTATTAGTTTATTATGTTAATTTCTACGATATCACTCTATAGGTATACAATAAATAACAACATCATTCAGCATATTAAATTAGTTGAATCAAAATGCAAACGCTAAGACTTGCACAGTGTTTAATTTAATCAATTCTGACATTATCTGAGATGGGGAAAAGACAGGGGCATCAAGGGGGAGAGGAGAAACAAGGACACCTGATCCTCAATGTCACCTAATTATGTAAACAAATCAAGTCAACTTACCTTTCAGAATCTCAGAGTCCTGACCTATAAACTATAGCCCAATGTTATAACTGATAAGACAGAACCTTGAATAGGTTATAGACCCTAACAAATTCTTAATAAAATATTCCTTGAACACATCTGGGAAAACTGTTCTCTTAATTTTAAAAATGCAAACAAAAACAATTATTTTAATTCCATCCAATCACTAAGATTCTATGTATAAGCATCTGTTCAAACATACTAAATCAGCAAATGTTATAAATATGTTGAAAGTAAATAATAACGTTTGATAAAAATTAAGACCCAGGGAATTGCGAGATGAGAAGGATTTAGTCCTTATCCTTTACAAATTTGTCAATCCATTAAAGAGAAAATATGGTAAGTGCCAGTTCATAAGAGGTATTTACACTCTATCCCTCTAACAAGTAACCAAAAAAATTACCTGGCACCCAATTAGTGTGCCTGTATTATGGACTTTATAAAGCTTTACCACCAGGAGCCACCATGTTCCTGTCTTGCCTTTGTCCTGGCTCCTGCTGTTGGCTGAAAAAACTCCGCACCTGCTTTTTTTTTCTTTCACTATGATAATTCAATAAAACATGAACTTTTCAGGTTAAGGATGCCTATTAATTTTGGCCCTCCAGATACTCCATCTCTGAACATCTTTGCATTTGTATTCTCCTTTATCTCTCCTGCAAATAGAAGAGATGTCTTCTCTTGTTGAAGGCTAATTTCAATAAGAGTTCTTTATGTAGATTCTCTAGGTCTTTGCTCCATCAATTCATATTTCTGCTATCTTCGTCCACCCTTCAAAGCAATTTTAGAACTCTTTTTCTAGAATGACCATCAGAGGTATCATTGTATGGCACACAAAAACATGCAGGAACAATAATAAACATCACTCATTAAGACACCACCACAAGTCAACATAAACACACCTGTGAGACACTGATATATCAAGATTATAAAAACTTACTGGTTTATACAGTAAGTGCATGGTGGCAAATTTGTGAACTTAATCATCAGACCTCATATGATGACATCTCTAATAGCCATTCCAGAGAAAGGGTTCCAAAATTGCTTTGAAGGGTGGACCAGGTGTTGGTGCCTAGCTTGCCAAGGGAAGTACTTTGAAAGTGACCATAGTGATATTCAGCAACAAGATAAATAGCACTTTATAGAATTCATTAATGAAATGAATTATCAGAACTTACACTCAATTTTCCCCTCCATAAACACATGCCAAATTTTGGAGTGAGAGGATTAAGAGGCTAGGGAGGTGGGCTAGAATCCTATAAAAGCCAGAACTGTATCTTTCACAGTCTCTTAGGCTCAGAAGACAGAAACTTAACTGGCTCAGACTAGCATAACCACACATAAGGAATAGAGGCAACCAAGACAGAGAGTAAATCTACTAAAACTAGGACCAAGCTTGGACCAGCAACCATGATTAGACTTAAATAATCAGTCCTGTATCCTCTCTGCCTAAGTAGGAGAAGGGATAAATTAAAAGGAACACAAAGAAATTTGGGGGATGATAGATATGTTTAGCTATGATGGTTTTCATAGATACACAATAGAACCTTCAATGACCACCTCCCCATATTTACCTCCTCAAGTTGACCTAATTTTCATAGATTAGACATGCACCACTTGTACCTATCAGTACACTTCAACAAGAGAAGACATCTCTTCTATTTTCAGGAGAAATAAAGAAGGATACAAATACAAATGCCTATTTCCTTATGTTGACCACCTCTGTACGTTGACCAGGTTGTTACAGGCCCTTGATCAAAAGAGGTTCTATTCACTCACACACACACTTACTTATATATATAGGGACGAAGACTTATCAATTTCCTCAACCTGATGAAGGTTGTCTACAAAAAACCTTTAGCTAATACCATGATTAATGGTAAAATTATGAAAGTTTTTCCACAAGCCAAGATCAGGAAGTAGGCAAAGATGTTCACTTTTACTATGTCTATTTAATTTTCTATTAGAGGATCTATCCATTGCAATTATGAAAAAAAAAAGGGAAGGGAGTACATTAAGATCAGAAAGAAAAAAAGTAAAACTATATTTCTGTTTGTAGATGCCATGAATGATTGCCTAGATTGCCTAGAATATCCTCAGGAATCCACACTACAAATACTAAAACTAAACAGTATATTTGGCAAGGTTGTAGGATTCAAGGTAAATATGCAAAAAAAGAATTGTATTTTTATATACACCAGTAGAAGGTATTTGTAAATATAATTAAAATTCAATTCTACTTACAATCATAAAAGGTAAAACTGAGTACTTGGGAAAAAATTCATTAAAAGATGTGAAAGACAGGCAAATTACAAAATCTCTAAGTGAATATATCCAATAAAAAAAAAGGAAGTCAGACAGAGGACTGGAATAAGCAACTAATCCTTCAGTGCAAAGACAGATGTATATCCACACAAAACAATCGCAAACAGTAAAACAATGACTTATAAAGCATTGAGAAATCAAAAACCTAAATAAATGAAGAGACACACCAATGTTATGGGCTGCAATAGTTACTACTATTAACATGTTATTTCTCCCCACACCGATCTATAATCCCAGTCACAATCATAAAGGCTTATTGAAGCAACTGATAAACCAACTCTATAATTTATATGGATGTTCAAAAGGCCTAGAATATCCAAAACAATATTAAACAAAACCCCCACAATATTGGAAGACTTCTACCAGCTGACATAAGACTAACCATAAATCTACAATAATCAAAACAGTGTGGTACTGGCATAAAGGAGTAGACCAAAGCAATAGATTAGAGCACCAGGAAACAGGCCTGTTTTTATGGAGTTATATAATTTTCAACAAAGGAACCAAAGCAAATGAGTAGAGAAAGGGAAGCCTCTTCAGCAAATAATCTTGAAATAACTACATGTTCATACTAAAAAAAAAAGAACCTGTAACCCCACAAGTGTGATAAATTTATGAATGTGAACATCTGAAAATGTTGGCTTTCCCTTCATTAATTCATTTTGTTATCCCAGAGATGATGCAATTTCTATTCCATATGGTAATTAAGAAATAATTATAAAAGTTTAATACCTTCAATGCTGTATAACTGTACTTTTTCCTCAGACACAGTGACTGCTTCCCACTGATGATCCTTAAATTAAAAACAGGTTTTTTCCATAAATAAAATAATTTGTTCATTATTCAAAGGTTCTTTTAGCCCCAATTTTTATGTTACTCAAACTATAAAGTTTACTTTTTATCAAATATCACTAAGAAACCAATTTATATAACTATGTAACAACTTTTTTTCTCCATAAATTAACTACATAATATTTTATGTTATATTAATACCTGTTCACTCTTAAGAGACAGTGATGGTATTGACAGTTTCCTATTCTTAATCAAAGAAGAATGACCATTAATATTTATTAAAGGATATTTATTTTTAAAGTATTAACAGATCCTTTTATTTTTCTGTTGAAATGTTTTATAAAATCCTACTCACTCCTCAACTCCCACTACTATATATGTCCTGTAACCATAATATTCAATTAATTGTCCTTTTCTCAAACATTGAATGTATGAACAACAGCCTAATTTTCCTAAATATTTTCATTGAATATTTGTAGATCTAAATAAAATGATATTGAATTCACGAAGTTACGGTGAAAACTAGTAACATTCTTAAAAAAGTGAATCCTAAAGCTCTCCCCAAAGCTTTGCATAGCTCGTATTTCTATGCATGTAAAAAACTCACTCCATTGAGGATTATGCGTATGCCACCTGGCACACTGCACCTCTAGTGATTGTTATAATCTACCAATTTCAAAATGACTCTTCCTCATATGTTGAAGCAACTGGCTCACTGCCTTCATTTTGAAAAAAAAAATACACATATATATATAGCATATAATAGAAATTTTCAAACTGATTAAAGTAGAAATCATATAACAAACTCTTATCCAGCTTCAATAGTAACAAATATGTTGTAGCAATATTGTTTCATTTTCACTTCCTATTCTCCCCTCCCTTATACTCCTTTCTCTTGACCTCAGCTTTAGCCTTCAATCCCCCTTTTCCCTCATCAGTTTTCAAAAGCTCTCTCTTACGCTTATAAAAAAGTATCTAACAAAAACTCCTCCTTGAATCTACTTCTCATACTATGCTCTCTTTTCCCTTAACTTGTTGTCTTTACTTCCTCAACCAGTATTTCAACTTTCTGAAATACCTATAGTCTCATCACTTAAGTGAACTGTTCTTTCATGGGTCAGCAGTTTTTATTTTATTTAAATCCCCCAGGAGCATTTGACAGTATTGATCTTATAAATACTCTTACTTTGTCTTCCATGACACAATACCCTTTTAATATGTTCTCTTTGGGCTGATTCTTTTATCTATCCTGTATAAATCTGTATTTTTCACAGGTTTTTCATACAGGCACTCAGTTTCTAGATAGCCACTTTTGGCTTAACTCTTATACCTAGCTTCAGACCAACATATACAACTACCTACCAGATACATAGTAACTTCAGCTGAATATCCTATAAGCATCTCCAAAGCAATACATTTAAAGCTGAACTCATCATCCTTCCCCTACAATACTTATCGTGCTGTGATAGCAATCCCATTCATCTAATTATCCAAGTGTTATTAAGTTGTCCTCTTTTCTTAACCACAGATCACACCAAATCAACTGAGTTCTACCTCTTCTCAAGTTTTTCTGGAGTTTATCCATTTCCATCCATCCCCATTATCCCTTCTTAAAACCATGCCACTGTGATTGATTTCTCACCTGGACTATTACAGAAAGCCTCCTAATGGAGACTCCCTGGTATCTTCCCTTTTTAATCTATTCTCCCCACTATATTTTAATCCACTCTCCCTGCCAGGGGTAGCTTTTACACAAATGTATTTCCTAGTGCCTACTATTTATCTGGCACATAGTTAAGTTCTCAATAAATATTCATGGGATTGATGTTACCACTTACAACAACTCTTATTTGGCTCTACACTGCCTATTTCCTTCCAATCATTTGTGAAATCTATGTATCTTTCAGTTCTTTCAAAATTTCATTTATTCATTCTTGTGACAAATATGAGCCCTTGAATAGATATAAATAAAAACAGGCAGGTACCAGGTTCCTCATCTCATTAATCTCATACTCTATGTAGGAAAACATACAAACTCATACACACACAATGATTTTTAAAGAGCAATAACTACTACAAAGGAAATAAAACAGGACAATGTGATATAATATAGCTGTGAGGCTACTTCATATTGAGTGACCAGAGAATACCTCCATAAAGAGATTACATATGTGCTAATATCTGAATGGCAAGGAGTTAATGTGAAGATCTTGAGATGTTCTAGGCAAGAACTAGGGAGCAGAAAGACCTTAGACAGGCACAACCTGTGCTACAGAAATATAAAAAAAAGGAATGTTGATGGAATATGCTAATCATGGAGAATGCATGAGACATCAGAGAAACAGTCAAAAGACAGGTCATAAAAGTGTTTTCTATGCGATGTCAAAGAGACAGAAAAAGGGTTTAAATAGTCACAATATGAAGAATGGTTTCTAGAGAATGAGAGGGAAAATAGGTAGGATATACTACAACTATAGAAAATCAGTTGAGAGAAGATTCTAAATATATTTTCAGAAAGAAGAATTCCCCAGCATCTTGATCAGTGCCTGGAACGTAGTAGGCATTAAACAGTGGCGCGTTGTTTTGTTCTATTTCCCTTATAGTAGTTAGTGTACATTGTGCTGTTTTACTTCTTTTATAATAGTTATTGCTACTTAACATCAATACTATTCTCTTCTTCCAAAATGGAATTTTAGTTCCTCAAAGAAAAAATATAGCTACCAACCCTGTGGGAGAAATACACTAATAAAAAAAACTGTCAATGCCCCTAAGAAGCAGTGTTTGTCACTGGAACTCAGTTTTAATCAGGTATTTTAAGAAGGTACTCTAAAATAAGAAAGAAAGAAGGGCACATGGAAATTGTAAGAGGTATTTCATTAATGTTCACACCTATAGTTTACCTGGAACAAAGAGCAAAATTATATAAGAAGTAGAACAAACAGACTAAAACCTTACTATAATAGTGCCAGCCACAACTATATTAACAAATGCTGACCAAATCTAAATTCAAATTTTGGCAAAGTGACTACACAATTTGAGCTAGAAGTATGCCAATGTACCAAATATGAGGTGTTAACTATTAAGAAACTATGATTCGGCTCGGCGCCTATAGCTCAACCGGCTAAGGCGCCAGCCATGTACACCTAAGGTGGCAGGTTCGAATCCCCAGCCCGGACCCGCCAAACAACAATGATGGCTGCAACCAAAAAAAATAGCCGGGCGTTGTGGCGAGCGCCTGTGGTCCCAGCTACTTGGGAGGCGGAGGCAGGAGACTCGCTTGAGCCCAGGAGTTGGAGGTTGCTGTGAGCTGTAAAGCCACGGCACTCTACCCAGGGGGACAGCTTGAGGCTCTGTCAAAAAAAAAAAAAAAAAAAAAGAAACTATGATTCAGGATTTTTCTCAGGTAAAAAAGGTTAACAGTAGAAAATATGCCACCTGTTTAGAAGTGTAAGCATAGCACAATATAGTATAGAAAGAAAAGAGCTGAAATTCACCCCCAAATGCTACTATAATAATCAATTCCTCACTATTTTCAAAGAGAAGATTTTATAAATCAATAAGGCTATTTGTCACTATCTGTTAATGATCTGTTATTTATTAGCAAGTAATTTATTTCTGAAAAGCATGTTAAAATTTCATATTAAAATTTATTGTTTTATTATAATTAAAAGTCAGAATTTTTATTTTGAATTAATCTGGTAAGTTATCATGCTAATCAAAACTACTAGAACTAACATAGAAATCTAGCAAAAGAATGGCTAGAAAAATAAATATACAAAGAAATTTACATGCTTAAGGTAAACTGAAAATTTTATATATACATATACACATACAATAATACTGCAGGAATAAAGCTTACATCATTATCTCCAGCAATGTAAAATGATAGAGTCTGGCTTCCAAGATTAAAATCAATCCAAAATTCCTCAAGTTTTTCATCTGATGGTATTTTCAGCTAAGGAAATAAACATAAAACTAGTGTAAATTATACTTTTATAAATAACAACAGGAAGTTATAATTATGGCTAAATCTTTTGTAAATGAAAAAAGATATAGCTAGAAGATGAGGGAAGAGAAAAGACAAATATAACATTTAGATAAATTTAGAAACAAAAGAAATTCTACTTCAATATTTTACACAGAAATTAGCTAACTCCAAGAAATTACAAATATTCCAAGTACTAACAGAGATTAAAACTACTATATCAGTTTAAGCATGGTCACAGATAATAAATCAATAATGGGACTAAGAAAATATGAGAAAATTTGAATAACTACAGCCTTTATATTCCAGTTATTCTCAGCTATGTATTAATGTGCAGTTTCATAAAATTTCTCCTGGTGTCATTTTCCCTTTTTTGTGTATGTGTGTCATTTTCATATACAAAATACTAGACCAGCTGTATTTGTGATCTATTTATGGCTATTTCTAATGTTCTTATCAATTGTTTAACTCATAATTCACTTGACCCTTACATTAAAATCTATCCAATAACTAAAAGAACATGTGCTAAATTTAAAACTTACCTCATGTTTATCAAGAAATGCTGACAAACACGGAAATGTAAAGACCCTGAAATTAATAATTAGTTTAAGAAAAGCATGAATAAGCCTTCATAGTATAATCTTGTCCAGCCATTATAAATCATGCTCAGAATCAAATCAGGCAATGGTCATAACTATTTAAGTAAAATATTCTTCTCTTTAATACTTGTATAAAATAAATAATGAAAATTTGTTTATGTAGAGAAAAGCCTATTACTTTGAGAATACTATCCAGCATACTCTTTTGAATAAAATGACTGTACCAAATGCATAGAATAAATGCATTCTAAACATCTATAAGGTAACAGGCATTGCAAATACTCTGTTATGTCATTAAAAAATGATGAAAGTTTACATTACGTATCCTTTATTCAGAAAGATTATACTTATAGTATGTTAATTATAAAAGAAAATGACTTGTGGACAGCACCTGTGGCTCAAAGGAGCTGGGTGCCAGCCCCATATGCCAGAGGTGGCAGGTTCAAACCCAGCCCCGGCCAAAAACTAAAAAAGGAAAATGACTTGTTTGCTACATATATTTTCATTTCAGTATGTGTATAAGGAGGAAACTCAAGTAACATATGTATGTCTAAATTTATATTACTCCTAAAATACTGAATAATGTATATGCAACTCAGAAATACAGTAATTTTTAAGAAAGTTATTAATGTGAATTAAATAAAAATGAAGTTTTTACTCCAAAAAGTACAAGGCAAAACAAGGCCAGTGAAGGATTATTTCAGACTACAGTATAGTAATTTACTAAATGATGTTATGGTAAGACATTGTTTAAATTTAATATTCATTCATATTTTACCCTCCAACATAACAGAATGGTTTATTTATAAAGACTGTACATTGGGTACTACCTCTTAAGCTCTATTTCTTTACCAGTAAACAACTGTATTAAACTTACCTTCTCTTGTCTCCAAGCATGCCATTTATAAAGTTGAGAAATATCCTGCAATCCTATTTTTAAAAAGAGAAACTTTCTAAACTCATAATAAAGTTTTAAAAAGTTAACCAATTTCTGTTATTTTCATACTACTTACTGTTTCAAACTCATAGTCTTTAATTCTTTTAAAAGCATTAGCAATGAAATCCATTGAAAACCACTGACATGCAAGTTCTTGTCTTTGTTTTTCTGTGGTCATTCTACATAAAGCTTCTACAATGCCTACCTGTAAGTCATAATCTATAAAAAAGTTAATCAATATGTGATTTAAAATTATGAAAAATAAGCTTATGTAATAAACTCTCATATATTTTATAAGATATCAGAATAAGAGAAATAAGAAAAATATTAGTGTAACTTATTCATTGAAATATCTCATTACAGGAATTAATGAAACCCATATAACAAGTTTCCTAATAGAAGAAAAAAGTGAAATTATAAAAAAATTAAACAAAACTTCTAACTATTCAAAGCCATTACCAATTAGTTATCATTAGAGTTACAAAACACAAAATAACACATATTATAGTATATAAGTCACAGAATCTTTGTTTTCCTTTCATGTAATGTATTTGCAGTTATCCCAAAGTACTTTAAAACATAGTTTATTCTATATGTAAATCACTACCTCAGAATTTGTTCATAGGAAACAGAAATGTCAAGTTCTTTTAGTAAATGCATTGCTTAAAAACAATTCTATGAATCCCAAGAACATCAGACTTTCTAATCACATAAAAAATACCATTTGAGGAATTTCTTAATACAAGCTAATTAAAATCTATTGGAAAACTGAGTTATCATTCATAAATCTACCATTAGGCACAATTACATTTATCTAACTCCTAGCATCAACATAAAGTATTACATATGTCCTAAATATATTTTTAACTTATTTTTATTAAAATAATTTAAAAATTGCTTGATTATACATAGAGAGTTTATAATTCCTTTACATAATGTCACCACATTACAATGCTAATATCATTTTGATCAAAAGGACATTATATATTATCAAAACTATTTACAAATTTGGAATAATTTCAAATTTTGAAAAGGTATACTTACCTCCAACATCTAAAATCCTTTCTCCCATACTACTCCTGCAAATTAAAATAACAGAATTTATATTGTAATAGTATCAATGAAATAGAAAGTCCTTGTGTTTGGGAGGAAAAAAAACTTCACTGAAAGATATACAACAATTGGCTGGTATCTCTAATTATTGCAGAAATTACATACATATATTAAATTATATTGAAAAGCTACCACAGTTTACCACTGCAATTATTAATGCAAACTCATGGTCATCTTGTAAGACATTCTCTAAATTCTTGACTTGCACAACCAATAAAAGCAATATAGTACAAATTATTACATGAGAATTAACATTTCTTGGTTAGAGAGAATATTCCTGGCAAGTTGAGGCATTCTGTCCAGTATAGCATTCATTTTTTTTAGAGTCTAGAAAAGAAAAAAAAAGATAATGCATTAATTTTATATTCAAAGATGAAGTATTTACAGAAATATTCCAGGTACACGTTAAAAGCCTAATTTTTGTCTTAATCACTGCATTCTGTTCCAAGAATGGAGTTAAGAATATTAAGTATAAAATAGTTAATGCAAAACAACATAAACCACAGGATATTTAAAGTAGAAAGTAGCATGATTCCTATACTTAAAGAATTCATACATTTTTTAGGATCACGTTTATTATTCTTCTAAGATGTAAGGAAGCCAAAAAATGATTACCTTATTAATTTTTGTTCTTAAGATATACACATACATACACTAATACAGACTTTGGTTAGCATAATAACATTTAGAACCCCTAATATCTGAATGGTGTAATTTATTTTCATTGAGTTATATACATCTATAAACCCATATGGTCATAAAATTTCAGTAAATATTTAGGAAATACGTTATGTTGGACAACGAATTGTTAAGATAATAGAAATATACTCCAAGATGAGTAATTTAGTCCAAGATAAAAATCAGTTTTCAAATTGTCAAACTACTACCAAAATTTCTTTACTTTCTCATTTGTAGGATAAACAAATGACTTTACCTCTTGCTGAACACAAATGTTCACTCTTGAGTCAATAACCAGGGCACAAAGGTGAGGTACAAAAGTTTCCACTACTTGTTTTTCACCTGAATAAAAGTATTCAATTATTGATATTCATTTTAAATCATTTTGAATGACAGTTTTTTCTTATATGAGTTAATGGAAAGGATGTATTATTAGTGCAGTACAGAAGAGAGCCTTTTGGCCTGGGCATCAGGAAATACAAAATTAAGTACTAGTTCTGCCTCTAACTAGCTAAGTGACCTTGAAAAATATATACCACTCTACAGATGTAGCTGATCTTAATGCTATTAAGGGAACAACTCCACGTCCAGTTTCTTATTTCAGGTACATAAGGAAGTATATATTTTTTAGATGAAGTAAATATAATTCAAAAGTGGAAAATTCTATTTTGAGGCTTTTATAAAAATTGGCCTCATTTTTTTTAGTTGTATCTCAAAGATTTTTATACCCATAAAGAACATGACCATATCTCCACCTCATGAAGCTCTAAATGATTCAAGCTATTTTTTTTTAATTGTTTGGGATTTGTTGAGGGTACAAAGAATTAAGTTGCACTGACTGCATTTGCTAGGTAAATTCCCTCTTACATTTATGTCCTCCTCCCAAGAGGTGTGCCACCCATTCTCAAAATATGAGGCTTTATTAATACTAATACATTCAGAGGAAATTTGCTACATACCATTTCATAGTACAAATTTTATATATAATTTTAAGCAATAGAAATACTGCAATAGCAAATGTGTAATTTTCTAAAGTTACTATATTGAAAGGAAAAAACCTCAATCCAACATAAATAAATCTTTATTTGAATCACTTTATAATTGCTCATGCTTTAGGATTATTTTCACCCTAAAAACCTATGAATTTGAACTAGATTATGTTAATTTCAAAAATATCAATGAAAAGGGAATATTAGCCATTATTTAAATCTATAAAAATTCTTTTAATAAAACTTTTTAGCTTTGAGTATAGAAAATAGGTTTATTGATGAACATTCACCAGCTTCAGATCAGTCCTAAGTAAGTCTTCTTCCAACCAACACAGAGATAAAAACTTGAATTTTATTCTTTGACACAAGTCATTTGCTGGCCACAAGTGAAAGGATGAGTAGTAACATGTTCTGCACTCTCAGTTTGTCATTCAAAATTTTGATCTATTAGATCCAGAGGTGACAAACTATGGCCCAAGAATTAAATCCAACTACTTGACTATTTTTGTATGGCCATATTATTCATCAGCAGGCACTCTATGGAAAATACTTGAATTGATCATGTTTATTGAACCAGTGTGCTAAAGGTGAACTTCATTCATCTTTATGAACTTAGCCATAGTCAGGTATGTGAATTTTTGTTAGAAATAGAAGTTAAATATTATAACTTGCCCTTCCACACAGCAGTCCAATGGCTTAGCAATGGCAAACTTTTATTGTGACTTTTGATACAAAGGACCAAGTCCAGAATTTTTCTGAATAAGAATTGTCCTTAACTATTATTACTGAATATCTTTTGTGGTTAGCAATGGCTGCAAAGTTGACAATATTTCTTAACAAACTGAGCCCAAAATTAAAAGATAAAATAACACTTATATGAACTTACACTGCAATAAAATTTTGATGCCTAAGGACACTGGAATGCAAGTTGCTTTATATACGTCCCAGACTACCAAAGGTTAAACAAAAAACAATATGTCCACTCCCACAGAAATTTACAGGGAACATATTTTTCCCCAAGCTCCAACCACAGGTCCAGCAGTGTTTTCAGATATTAATGTAAATGCAAAGAAAATTTCCATACTTCAAAATCTAGAAATCTGCAATTCAGAAACTTTTCAAGTGAACGTGATTAATCTGCAATGCATGACATTCTAAAAGGTAAATATTAAGAACCTAACACTACTATTAAGGCATTCCAAGTGATGAACATGCTCAATTAAAATCATGCTCATAAACTGATAGCAGGATTTGACATTACCTGCATGAAAAGACATCTTTTAATGGGATCTTCAAAATATCTCATTACAGATAAACATTTACACGTGAACATTTGCAATCAATTTTGAAAAGAGAGAACACTAACTTTGAACTCTAATTATGTGAAATGTTACCTTCTCAAAATAGAATGCTATTTTTCTCATTAGACCTGTATTTCAAAAATTTGTACTCAATTATTATTGTATTTTAAATTTCATCGATAAAACATTTATAGAAATTTGTTTTGTCTTCTCATTTAAATACCTCCATAATATTCTCAATTATTTTTCTTTTGCAGTAAAATGGCTAAAATATTTACTATTAGCCCTTTACAGGAAAAATTATTTTATCCCTGAATTAGACAGAATTGCTAATATTAAGACAATAAAGGAATTAAGATTAGGAATTGCAAAATTTTACTAAATCGCTAACAGCAATTTATCATTCCAACATAAATAAAATGTTTATAATACCTTCATCACTGACATCATGTATGACCTGAAAAAAATGAATATTTAATTTACTCTTTAAAAACAGTATTAAAATGACAAATTACATTTTAACCCACAGAATAATTATTTAGTTTTTATCTATTAACTAACCATCTAATTATATTAACCAATTTAAACACTTCATACAATCTGAACAGACCCGCTAACCAATATGTTAATGACTTTTAGGCTAAGGGAACAGAGAACACAAATTGTCTTAAAATATTCACATGCTTTACACCAGTTAATCAATGAGACTTTTACCATCAAAAGATCAAGTAAGTCTTCTATCATATTTGTAACAGCTTCATCTTTTGTATTTTCTTGACTTAGGATAATCTCCTTGGATTTTTCCAACCAGGAAACCATGTATAAAAAAAGAATTAACAACATATTATTTACTTTCAATTCCATGTTAGTAATTTTGAGAATGTATTTATTTTTAAATCAATAGTAAAGCTAGGAATGAAGAGACATTAAAAATAAAAATTCTGGTATTGTATCAAAATAAGTTTATGCTTTTAAACATCTTCCCTGCTTTTGTTTTTTTGTTATTATTTACTCACTACATTTCTCATTGTTTAAAATGGTAACAGACAAAAATAATCTTAATTGTAAGAACCTATTTTCCTCTTCAAATTCCTAATTCAGTTAACCTTAGGATAATATTAAAATAAATTATCATCACAATTTAGGTTATTTTGGTATCATTACTATTTGAAAGGTTTTAGTATTATTTTACTTTAGTTAATCAATTATTTCAGGAATTTGAGTATATACTACATCCTAGGTACTATTTTAGGTGCTGGCTATACAGCAACGAATATAAAACAGGCACAAATCAATATCCTTCATTCTAGCATGGGACACAGATAATAATATAAAAACAAAAATAAAGTTATGTAGTAATTAAGAAGAGTTGATGAGAAAATAAAGTTAAGCCTTTGGGGAGCCTTGGGACCTTAAGCTCACATGATTATCAAGATCCCTGTTTACCGAGTTTTGGGGGGACTTTTTGTATTTGCAACACATACAACAAATAAAATTTATTCTCAAAGTTTCATATAAAGTTCCCAAATTTATTCTTCAACTATTTGGACCATTTCTCATTTTATTATAAAGCATACTTTTTATCAAATCTCCTTCACCTGCATATGTTACATATTCTATACTTATCTTTTGTACTAGTCCTTGTTTTATCATGGTTGGAAGTCCAGCTTGGCCTAATATACTGATATTTTTGGCACATCTTCCAATAGTAACCAAAATGGTTGAAACAGTTTGGATATCCTTTTTATTAAGTTCCTGAAATGAAAAGTATACACTAAAACTTTTGCGAACACAAAATAGTTTGAAATAAGCATTGGGCCCAGGTACACATATTCCTAATCCTCATCACCAATCCTGAAAGGAAGCCATTACCATCATCACCGTACTGCAAAGGATGAAAAGTGTAGTTCAAAAGAACAACTTGACTTGCCCAAAGCCAAACACCTGGTGAATGACAAACTCAGAACAAAAATGAAGATCTGATTAAATTCACGAAAATTTATACTGAATCAGTTACCATCCATTCCATTCTAAAAAGCTTCATGTATTAAACAGATCAAAGAAATTTTTATTCACTCTCTTAACTTCATAATAAATCCCAGATATGGGAGAGATTATTAATAAATCACCTCTTCTCATGTATGAAAATGCTATAGATATGATAAATCAAATCCGAGGTTTTGGGGAATTTTTTGTTTATTTTTGAGAGCATCTAGCATTGTCAAGAAAGAATGTACTGATAGGGTTTTTGTTTTTTCTTTAGCTTAATTATTATGGGTACATAATAATTATATTTCTTTATAGGGTACACGTGATTTATTATTTCAGTACATGTGATTCTTGATACAGGCATACAATGTGAATTAATCAAATTAGGGACTTTTTTTTTTTTTTTTTGCAGTTTTTGGCCTGGGCAGGTTTGAACCCACCACCTCCGGTATATGGGGCTGGTGCCCTACTCCTTTGTAATCAAATTAGGGTATAACTGGGGGTATCTATCACCTCAGGCATTTATCATTTCTTTGGGTTAGAAACATTCCTATTCCACTCTTTGAGTTATCTTAAAGTGTACCTCAACTTATGGTTGATTATAGTCACTTTGTTGTGCTATCAAACATTGTTCAGTCTATGGAACTGTATTTATGTACCCATAAACCATCCCTGCTTTTCCCCCCAACCTGCTACCCTTCCCAGCTTCTAGTAGCCATTATTCTACTCTCTCCAAGAGATCAATTGTTTTTCATATTTTATCCCCCATAAATCTCAAAAAAATCATTGCCCAAACCAGTGTCCTAAAGTGTTTCCCCAATGTTCTTATTTTAGAAGGTTCACTGTTTCAGATCTTTTTAACTCTTGAATCCCCTTTGATTTTATTTTTGTAAAAAATATCACCCATCCAGGCCGAAAACACAGTTCAGTTTGACTGAACTCAAACATGCTAATGTCACGACTGCATCAATAATTTTTTTTAATGTTCTCTGTATATGGCAAGAATTAAAGGTCTAATTTATTTCCACACATCGATATCCAGTTTTTCCAGCACCATTTGTTGAAGAGACTGTTCTTTTCCCAATGTGTGTTCTTAGTCCCCTTGTCAAAGACAAGTTCACTATAGATACGTGTTTTTATTTCTGGGTTCTCTTTTTGTTTCACTGGTCTACACGTCTATTTTTATGCCAGTACTATGCTGTTTTGGTCACTATTGCTCTGTACTATAATTTGTAGTCTGGAAATGTGATTTCCCCAAGTTTGTTCTTTTTGCCAGTGGTTTCCAATCCTGTGCACACTGGTGTACTGTGAGAGGATCGTAGGATGCTGTGAAAAATTTTAAAGATCATTAATTGTTTCTAAAGAAGTCAAAGCAAAGTATATGTATGTATATTTTTTGATCAACATAATTTAAGTGTGCCGCAGAAGTTTAACTATAGGTTCAAGTATGCTGTGAGATAAAAATGGTTGAAAAACACTGCTTTTGTTCAGGATGGCTTTAGCTATTTTGAGTCTTTTGTGGTTCTACATAAATTTTAGGTATTTTTTTCCTATTTCTGTGGAAAATGCCATTGATCTAAAAAAATAGATCAAGTTGTTTAAATTACTTTTTTCTAAATTTAAGTATTGATAATCTTATGTAAAACTAGCTTTTTGAATTAATTTTATTTGAAAAACAGTATTCTGATATGTTCAAACTCTTTGAACAAAAAAAAAATCAAGCAATTGCTAAAATAAGCATAAATTATATACAGGTTAATTGTAAGCTAGCTTGCTCTAGCCTTTCTATTTATTTTTTTCTATTGGAGTAGTTCATCCTAGAAAGTACAGTTCTATATAATAATTTTAATAATCATTCAGTAAAAATATTTACCCTGCACATAAGGTCATCCAACTTGTGGAAGAACTGTTTGCTGCATTTAATCTTCACATCTTCACAAGCATCAATTTGGACAAGTGTTTTCAAAGGTTTGAAATCATTTTTTCTTAAAGCATCATCAATGCACTTTTCCAACTGCTAAAGAAATATATTTAATGGCACATATATTGAATCAAAACCAAAATTAGTCACCTTATGTAATCTAGTAATTTGAAGATGGTTTTCACGTGAGAACCTTCAAATGAGTTTATAAAATATCAATTCACTTACTTAACAAAAAATGCTTCCCATTATTAAATTTGGAGTAATTGAATTAGTGATTCTTTTGATAAAACCAGGAAAAAAATTACTAATATTTCCAATTCATATCTTTTATTACTAAAATAATCATTACATTGAACTCAACAAAAACTTGATGAAACAAAATCAACTTTCTAGTAACTAATACTTGATACAATGAATAAAAGCCTAGAACATCTGATTAGCAAACTCTTACTGGGGTTTAACTTATAAAGAAAAACGTACAAACACAAGTATCTTTTTGAAACTATACCAATGAATATTACTTAAGCATTACTCTTATATAATATTTATATTCTTTACAAAATCTTCCATTCCTATTGTTGAAATACAACTTCATTAATAAGAAATTTTCATACTACAGTCTAATCACTAAGCAGAAATTGTAGTGACTTGCATAGATGTTAGATTATTAAAATTTACACTTTATCCAAATGCAAGAATTTTAAAAGCCTGACATACCTTCATAATTCTTTTCAATATAAAACAGATATATATAAATCAGCATTTTTAATATTTTACAAATATTCTTAATACAGTTTTAAAAACATATCTATTTTAATTACTCTATTCTTGACCATTTCATTAAAACATGTAAGCTTTGTCATTGTTAAAAACATAGGACCTATAAGTAAACAAAAGTGATTTTAGAAATCAAAATATATCCTTTTGGTTTAGGACTACATACCTGGAAATCTGGTCTTATTGGCATTTTGACTGTATTTAAAAACAACAGGACAAAACAAACACCTATGGAAGAAAACATATTTTCTGCATTTTACAGTATGTTCCATGTGTTTACAGTTTAAAGTATCTTAACAGACATCAATAAGCCCTGCTGCTTATATAAAAGATAATAAATATTGTTTCTTTAAGTTCCTCACTGGACATTTTCTTTATGTATGTATCAAATTGCATATAAATCTGACTGAAGAAATTTCTAGAGGAAAACCTGCAGATCACATTTTCAAGCCCTCTCTTCTTATAGATGACTTATATTAATGTCAAATATCCTGCCAAAAAGTCACAAAGCTAGTTAGTAAAATAACAGAAACCTGGACCTCCTTCACCAGTGATTCCTGCTTACTTGCTTCACCTTTGGGAACAAGAAGAAAAATACTCTTGGGTTAATTTCTAAATAAAATGAAAGCTATTAATAGCATATTCAAAAAGGAAGAATATGCATATAAATTAAGAAAGAACAGAATCAATGCAAAGAAACAAGTGAGGAAAAGATAATCTACACACATTTCGTATGTCCAGAAAGATGTTTAGGAAAGAAAAAAGCCCTGGGTTCTGGCTGAATGCCCAAATCAAGGGGAGGGCTTCACTTCAGCAAAATGTTTCAGATCCCTTAAAACCATAGGATGCAATTACAAACGACCATCATGAATTAACATATTGTAATATGGCTTTTAATAGAAAACATTCCCAGAGGTCAAAAGAGAAATTCCATGCTTATGAAAACAGGATAACAAACAGATGAATAACTTTGAACAACCCTATTTAGTGTTTTCCTGAAAAGGGGGAACACAAAGGTCATTTAACTTACCCTGCTATTAACATCTAAGGATTAATTTTTTTTTTTTTTTTTTTAGCAAGAAAATACATAGCTGTAGTTAGCCTCAAAATCCTATGTACCTTTTCACTTTGTAGATTACGTGTTAAGCATTTTGGCTTTTTTTGAAACCAAGTACTAAAACATTCTGAAAGCAACTATTATTCTGACAGTATAATGACATCTAATAATTAAACTTTTTTAACCATTTCATTTTAATTATGAAAATGTTTTTTAAAATCTGACATGCTGACAACGATGTACCTAAGAAGTACTTCCTAGCATCCTCAGTAAAATAAACATTTCTTGCACATAAAAAAAATCCTTAAAACATTTTTTCCCTTTAAAGGAGAATGAATACAGGAAACAATGGGGTTACATTAAGTACTACACACAATCTTAACAAATCTAACATTTCCAAATGCAACTTAAGGTTAGTTATAGAAAGAAAAATAAATAATTGCTTCTTTTTGTATACATCATAACTAGAATAATTATAAATAAATTACGCTGTGACAAACTTTGTAACAAAATCACTAAAAAAAAAATCCAGCATAAAGAGGCAATTAATCAACCCAAGAGGAATATAGGACTCTGTATGCATAAAACAACAAGCATTACTGACAGTCTACATTCTTGCAGACATGCTATTAAAGAAAATTAAGTGCCAATGAAGACATCCACATAAGGCATATGAAAGGCGTGAGTAAAAAGAAAGAAAAAATTTTTACATTTCTAAATCCAGTTGAAGATTAACTATAAGGGAAAAATCTGATGCCTAGAGAAACATTTACCCCATGTATAAGAAACTAGGTAAACATACATTTTTGCAGCATTGTTTTAAGTGGCAATAACTCAAAAGCATTTAGGTGGGAGCTGGGAATGGCGGGGAGAGTGGGAAATAAGTAAATGTGGCACAGTATGTGGTAATTGTATGAATGGATATAATAATTAAATAAAATGAACCAGGACTACAGGTAATCTGTGGTAAAACAATCTTATGTGATTAAAACCATGTGGCCAAATGATAATATATACAATGTAGCGCCATTTATAATGAAAAAGAACCTTGGTATTATTCATTATTAGTTGCATATCGGATGTATATTAAGCATGGAAAGAGACATTCACTCATACCACTAAAGACAGCTGGGGTGTTTTGTCAGCCCACTGGGAAGGAAGACTAGGAAGTTGCACAGAACTGGAGAAGGCTGTTAATAAAAAAGAGACACTAGTTTTATTTATAATTAACTTTTTTTTAAAGTACAGTAAATTCTTGCCAAAATCCAAGCACATGGGTAACAAAAAATAAGATTAAAAATCTGAGTTACTGTTAAGGGATATGAGATGACCAAGCTTCACAAGTATCCAGCTAGAAGTCCAGGTGCTTTATCTATTTCTGTTCAGGGTCCAGCTGTAGTTTATCCCTGTCTGTTCTGTTTGTCTGCTCTGGTCTAAACACTGGGGAAACTCTGGGTCTGTGCCCAGCTGGGACTTCTAGGATAGCAGCAATTGATTTTAGGACCTCTAAATAGTTGGTAGTTATTCTGTCATCCTGAATCAAGAGATTCATCCAGAGAACATGGGAAATGCAGGGATCCACTTCTTGCCTCCCCAGTTCCCAAGAAGTTGGCCTTCCACTTTCCATTGGGCTTTACTCTTTAATTCCCCTGGGGCCATCACAGAATAGAAGTTTAGTCTGGTCCTGTTTTAAAATATCATGACAACACACACTGTTGCAGGGGTGTGTTAGTTTGTGTGTGTATATATATGCCAGGGGTGCCACAAATTGCATGCACATTTTAAGAGATCATGTTGCAAGTAAAATCAACCATTCCAGAAAAGCGTACAAATTGCAGGTAAAATGGATGTGCACAGCATGCCTAGGTACACTTGACCAGTAATAGCACCTTCAGTTCAACTTCAAAAAGTAACACACAGATACACTTAACTGCACTTAAAATATGTATACATTTTTTGGCATCCTGTGTGTGTATAAAAACTTACTTGATAGAAAAGTTAGAAAACAATGAGAAAAGAATTATACTATCTGAAGCATAGAAGAAATAGGTACTGGATTAGTAACCAATCACAGAGGAGCAATGTACACTGAGGAACCTGAACACCTACCACTGCCACTAGAATTTAGTCTGAGAGCCTAAAAGAGGGTGACGGTTTTCAGGGGTGAACATTCCTTTGGACAGAAAGACCATGTTGAGGAAATGATCCAGACTATTACAAAGAAATGAAGTGATAAAATAATACTAAAAACGTTGAGAGATACAAACCTTCCAATATCTATACAATAAAAATTGTACAAATTAGCAAAAACACAAAAATAAAAATGGTGAGGTAGGAACAGCGAACAGTAGCCGAAAACTTTCTCAAATAAATATAAACATCCACAAATTGAAAAAGTCCACTAATTCCCAAGGAAGATAAATGAAGAAAAGTAGACACATTGTGATGACACTTCTGAAAAATAAAAGTGAAAATCTTAAGTCACCCGAACAAAAAGAAAATCATGCAAAAGAATCAACGTAATAGATTCTTGGATCTCTGAACATGACTGAAATACAGCTACAAAGCAGAATCAAACTTACTATGTATTTTGAAACTAAAACACACATATGTATATTTGAATATCCATGGGACGTGAAAAGTCGGTTCACAAAATTTGTAGAACCTCTGTAAGTTGATCACCAAGGACCTACAACAAACTGGTCAACATGTGAAGGTGATGGGGACACACCCACGTGAGCTTCGGGAGCTACACGGGTGACAGGAGGCACGCCCACGTGAGCACTGAAGACTTCCTGGGTACTGGGGCCACGCCCACGTGAGCTCTGGAGGCTTCAGGGGTTACGGGGGCAGGCCACGTGTGCACAGGTGTCACGGGTGGCGGGGCCACGCCCACGTGAGCACAAGAGGTACCACGGGTGATGGGGCCACGCCCACCCGAGCACTGGAGGTGTCACGGGTGACGGGCCCACGCCCACGTGAGCATCGGAGGCCACGCAGGGGCGGGGAGCCTCCACCTTCTCCCACCACAACTACAGTGTTGTCTGAGCACTGCCCGTGAACTGCTGTACAGAGGCCCATTTTATGGTCTATTAGTCACCGCCGCCGCCACAGGGGACAGCAGCAGCTCTGCTAAGCAGGCCCGTGAGCGCCACGGAGCCCCCGCCTCCGCCTCCCGGGAGGCCCCGCCACGGCCCTGCGCCGTTAACTCCTTCCCGAAGCCGGTCACGGGGGGCTGAGCGGGCAGGATGTGACCGTCCCACCTTCGGAGAAAACGCTCCCGGGCACCCCCGACCCGAGCAGGAGGCCTCCCGCCCCCGCCCGAGCTCCGTGGGCCCCGGCTTTCCAACGGCCGCTGCGCGCCGCACCCAGCGCCGCGACCACCAAGGGCAGGACGCAGCGGCGGCTCCGAGGCCCTCGTCCTCCCGGGCCTGGGAGGCCCCGCGCCCGCCCCACCGGCGAACTGGGCCCGGTCCCGGTCCGCCCGGGACTCACTCTCAGCTGGGCGGCTGTTTCCACAGCGCCTCCCCTTCAACTTCCAGAGGCCACGCGCCCGAGGACGCCACAGCCTCCCTCCGCGCCCCGCCCTCCGGGAGGCCACCCAGGGGCCGCGACCCACCCGCCGGCTGGAGGAAGCCTCCAGCGTGGAGGCCGCCGTCTCTTCGCTGCTTGCCGTGAGGAGTGGCGTCTGAGCTCCTCAGGACTGCCGCTGAGCTTTTAGGCGTTTGGCAGAAGGCGGGAAGGGCCTGGCCAATAGGAGCTGCGTCCGGTAGGCGGTGTGTCCAATCAGCGCCGCCACCAGCCAGGCCCCGCCCTAGCCCCGTGGCGGGTGGCGGGATGGCAAGAGGACTGCGCCAAGGGTGACGTCGAAGACGCAAGTCAAGCCGGGTCGGGTCGTCAAGCGGTGGGCCCAGCTGGAGGCTCCCTGGGTAAAGCGCTCCCGGCAGGTCCTTGCTAGGCCCGCGGGTGAAGGCGCCGCGATCGCCTTTGCTCCGGTGCCCCCACTTCCCTGCTCTGCCGAGGGCTTTGGTGACCGCGAGCCTGCCTCTGGACCGGTGCGCGGAAGGGCGGGAAGGGGTGCGGGCGTCGGTCGCCAGAGGAGGCCCCGGACCTGCGCGCCGGCCCCGCTGGAGGCCTGGAGGAGGGGGCGCGAGTCCTAGCGGAAGCACCAACACTAGTTTTGGGCTCTTTGGTAGGTTTGCACACGCCATTTTCGTTTAGATGTCAAAACAGGGAACATTCCTGTGCGATGCCCAGACGGGGAAGGGTGTGGCAGAGGCACGTCCCGGGAGCTCGCGGCGGGAGGGCGAGCGGGCGGGCGGGCGCTGGGGCTGGGACGTGCCTCACGCGCTGAGCCGAGCTCCCTTCTAACAGACACCTAATTACCGTGTCAGAGTCACCCTGTCCAAGGAATCCCCGGCCAAGGAATCCCCGGCCTAGG